CCGCCGCTGGTTCCGTCTATCTAATTTTACTCACAACCTTGGGTCAAGACGTGGTATGGTTTTCAGGCCTTCTCCAGACCTTGAGAACATCAGGAATTCTCCTCCCTGACAAATCGACCATGGTGAGATTCGAACCCGGGTCTCATGGCCAGAAAGCGAACGTACCCATTACCATTATGTATATGCTATTATACTATGTTATATATTATATTGCCAAACATTTAATCATATCGAATGTAAGCTGGGCACTTCCACGTAGTTTAATGGTTAGCAATCTTGTCTCGCTATATCAATTATAATTGAAGAGTGAATTCTATCCTCCCTGAGTGCCCCTTACGTTCGGCCTTGTGCCACATCTACGATTAGAAAATCACCATATCTAATGTAAGAGAAAAATAAGATTTACTTTATGTGAAATAAAATGATATTATATATTTGATATATATATATATATATATATATATATATATATATATATATATATATATATATATATATCTTTTGATGTTAACGCCCAGACGAACAGTCTCTTTCATGCTTGAACGCAGTATCTATTGTTATTTGTTGATTTTACAGTGGCTTGGTATATAATATTGTTCTGCAAGCAATTGCCGTTTAAGATACATTCGTTCGTGGGTTTGTTTTGTGCGGGAGTGTTTGTTGGTTGTTTTTTCTAGTGCTTTTTTATTAATTATATCATATTCTCGGTGCAACTGTAGCTGATTTTTACTGTGTTTTTGTTGAATATCCTCTGGAGAGTGCTTGGGGGGAATACTTGTGTTTGAGTGTAATTAATATTTTTCCTATGGTTGTTTTTACATTTTTATTGTATAGTGTTTCTTTTTCGGTTGGCTTTTTCTGCTGTGTGGTATGCATTTGAGTGTTGCCTAAAATTCGCTATTTTTACGGTTGTTTTATAGTCATTTTTCGCTTCCTTGAAGATGATATCACGAAAAGAACTGTCAGAATGCCTGCGGTTAATCGATTGTGGGATCTGCTTGATTACTGATGGCAAGTGGTTGGAAGATATACTCCACTGTAAGATCAGCAGATAATGAAGAAAAATATACATAGGAGTAACTGAAGGACTCTGAAAACAAAGAAACAGCGCGCACAAAAAATAAAAACAATAAATACGCGAACGGAACAATGCCTTCATTACATATCAAGGAGATTAAAAAAAAAAACCAAACCGCACCAAAATATCATGGAAAATAAAGAAAACTACAACAATAAATCAAAAAACTGTGAACTCTGTCTGAAGGAGAAAATAGCTATAATTACCTTCCCAGACCAACACAAACTACTAAATAAACGATCAGTACTCATCTGAAAATGCAGACACAAAAACAATTTTTCACTACGTTACTTAAAAATCGAAGACTAAAAAAACGAACAGGAATAAACAAAAATAAATAAATAGAAAATAAAATAAAATAAGAAAAATAAATTAATCCAAACCAATAAATAATTAAATAAATTAAGTAAATAATAAACATTATTCTGCCCTGAATGGCACCATGAACCACAACTGTGAAATGAAAGGGTGTGGTAACCAGAGCGGTGCAAAATGTGGTAATTAGATAAATGGATCAATTACTTCAAAATTATTTAAAAGCAGAATCTTCAAAATTTAAATGCAACCCTGTTATTTTTTTTTATCGTTTCTTCTATCCTCCCCATTCTCAGTCTTTCGATTCCCTTCTTTTCATTCCCTGTTATCCCCTGCCGTCTAGTGACACTGTCGCCTTGTTTGGGGTAAAACAATAAAAAAAAAATGACTGAAAGAACGCCCCATATAGTAATCAAGGTTGTTTCTAATTTACAGAGTGTTGTGGGGCTCTCCCCTTTTTACATGAGATGGACTCGTCCTAAGTATACTTATACTGACAAAGAGAATACCCACGTTTGAGATAGAAAAATAAGTGTATTAAACGTAAGAATACAGACTTGAAGTGAAGATTAGTAGTCCAGGAATGCGGGTTAGTAGAAAGTATATGTACAAGTCTCTGTAAGTAAAGCCGTAATCATCTCTCTCTGTCTCTCTCTCTCTCTCTCTCTGGACTCTTGTATAACTCTCTGAGAACACCCTGTGTCTGTCTCCGTATCTCTCAACCTGTCTCAACGTATCTCAACGTATCTCAGTATTTGATATTCCACCCACGAGGAATATATGTGGCACAAGGCCGAGTTTAGAGTGCGTTTCTCCGAGCCCGTAGGCTCGGCGAAAAAATATCCCCTTTGAACCCGCATAAGCGAACTGTCTACCTCCCCGGATGAAACCTTGCCCTTCGGCAAAGCCTCGTCTGGATTCCTCTCTGCCAAAGCAGAGAGTTCGATAGACGTCGAGACTGTATCTTGACGTATCTCAGTATTTAATATCCCACCCACGAGGAATATATGTGGCACAAGGCCGAGTTTAAAGTGGGTTTCTGCGAGCCCGTAGGCTCGGCCAAAAATATACGCTTTGAACCCGCCTAGACGGGTTCAGGGCCTGTCTACCTCCCCGGACGAAACCTTGCCCTTCGGCAAAGCCTTGTCCGGGCTCCTCTCTGCCAAAGCAGAGAGTTCGACAGACGTGGAGACAGTATCTCGACGTAGCTCAACCGCAGGTATTCTCTCTGTCAGTATAAGTATACTTTGGACGACTTCATCTTATGTAAAAAAGGAAGAGCCCCACAACACATAAACAAACTGCAGTTACAACATTTCGTTAAATATATCTTATGGTGTTTGTCGGCATTATGAAGCGGCGACTGTAACGTAGAGATTAAGATTTTTAATTGGCAAATACAATTTGCCGAAGTTGTCAGTAATATATAACTTGCGTCATATCTCCTAATAACCACAGAATTCTGTTCATAATTATTATTATTTTAAGACATCCTATTATTCTCTTTGGACCGTCCTGGGTATGACGATAAACAACATCCGCGTCCTGGGTAAGACAATAAACTACGTCTAACAGCAAGGCCTCTGATTAGCAGGTTTTGGGGACGGTGGAACCTTCTCTTAATTACCGGTGTTCTCAGGTCCACCCTGACCCGGTGTGGTAGCACCTGTTAGGGTCCTAGCTATAGGCAAATAGTTAACCCCGAAACTGAGATAAAAAAAAACATTATGAAAGTGTAAAAATAAGTTTTAATACCAGAAATACTTTGTAAAAAAAAAAAAAAATACCAGAAATAACTTTTCGATGAAAAAAAAAAATTCACCAGCAATACGTTTTTGAAAAAAAATATTACCAGCCATACATTTTTAAAAATATTGCCAGCTATATACTTTTGAAGAAAAAAAATATTACCAGAAATAGATTTTTGACAAATTAAAATATTACCAGGAAAAATTGTCGACATTAATTGACCCCTTTAGGTTGAAATACCGTAAATCAAAACAAACTAAGCCAATTCTCTTTGGATATTCTTTATCGTAGTGCCCTAGTGTCAGAATATAAATTGCATTCCAAATAGAAGCTTCCCACTTCAATGTTTTGTAACGGTAAGAAATCGATGTTGAAGTGGATACTTAACAGATTAAGATACATCTATTGTATAGTCTTTGTTAGCAGCCGCTATAGTACACTTGTCGTATGGTGACAAAATAAAATGCGAAATAAAGAAGTGTGGAAAGTATTTAGTGTATATTTCTTAATGTTCACTTTCGCTTGAACTGCTGAGTCGTTCGAATATATGACTTCAGATTTCCACAACAGCTGCCGTATAAGGAACTAGTCAAAGTTGATGACTATAGAAACACCTTCGGCTGAAATGTGAAAACAATGTAAAAGACAGTCTGAAATATTCAACTTATCCAGTTTGAAATGAAAACCAGTTACACACAAATGTCAAGTTATTTTGTCTAAAACTTTTGCGATTTTAACCGCCAAAAGCGTTTTATTGTGACAAGACTTTTGTATTATGCTGTTACGTCTAAAAATATTCACTCCTTAGAAATTTGCATCCAAAACTCTTTGGCCTCAATACATTTCTGATGATAATAATAATAATAATAATAATAATTTTACCTGTTCATTATTAATTAGTTATCGCGTAGGTTACACCTTGCAAATACCTCATAAATAATTGACTATTCCATTTTGTTCGCAAGGAAAGCCGGAAAGAGCATCAGAGGTGCTATTAGGTTTCAACGAAAGAAAGAAAGAAAAAAAAAAGAAAAAAATTAAAATCCTTTTATTTGTACCCTCTTACTTCTTTAAATAATTATCTGGATTCTTCTTATGATTGTTATTGTAAGATATTATTAAAAGTGTTAAGATCAAATATTTAAAGATAGAAATATGAGAATTTTCACAGAGATTTTAATGCCGTGGAACGTCACAACGAGCTTATTCAGTTATTAAATTAAGAATTATGATTAATCAGAAAATTCTAATAAAAAATCGTGAAATTTTCGTGGGCACTACTACTACTACTACTACTACTACTACTACTACTAATAATAATAATAATAATAATAATAATAATAATGCCTCCTTAGTGATATGGCAGTCCCTGCGAACTTCAATGTATCTTTGAAGATCTTCAAAAAGCTATCAAAATACAAGTCGAAATCTCAAAAATGTGGCACATAGGAACATCAACAATCTCTGTTTTAGTTGGAGCCCTCGGACTGGTCAGAAAAGATTCCAGTAGACTCACTGAAAGGAATTCCTGGAAGTCCATGACTTAAAGAAATACAAAAAAATTGTTCTCACGAGTAGAGCCCACACTTTACGAAGGGCTTTATCTATGTAAAATATGTATGTTTTTTTTTATTTATTTTTAATTGGTCAGTAGAAAATGTCATGATGCCATTTCTAACCTTAGGTCACTGGTTGGGACCCGGAAAGAAATGACTACACGTCAGAAATGAAAGGAAATAAAATAATAATAATAATTTTCTGGACACGTAGAAAATTGACAGGTTTTGACAATTAAGACATCAACGTTATACTAGTATATATATATATATTCCTCTGTTTACTAACAGAAATATAAGCTTACAGCCACATCACGATTAAACACCGGTTCTCGTACGATCACTGAAGTTAAGCAATGTCGAGCTTGGTCACTACCCACATGGGTGATCGGTTGGGAATACCAGGTACTGTAATCTTGGAGGCGTCAATTGGAAATCGGTGAGCCTAGTTTCATTTTCAGTCGAGTTTGTTATATTAACTTCCGCGCAAATACTCTTGGGAAAGTTATGGATCCACCACTTCTTCTCCAGCTATGGGTTAATTAATTAGTAGGACTTGTATCAGTAAATCATTATTATTTCCGAAAATTATTACAATCTAGCAATATTTATTGGCTTTAAATAGCCCGCAAAAGATTGATAAGCGGCTAAAAACAAAATAATCGATTAATAACAAAAATATAGCATATTCATTCTATGTTTGCTTATGCGCAAACATATAATAAGTATGCTTATATTTTTATTAATAATGCGCTGATATGTAAAGAAAGAAAGAAAGAAAGAAAGAAAGAAAGAAGGAAAGAAAGAAAGAAAGAAAGTGTTTACATACACAGACAGAAGAAAGAAAGAAAGAAAGAAAGAAAGTGTGGAAAATATATGAAGAAAAAGGAAGGAAGAATGAAAGAATGCGGTTATGTGTGAAGAAATAAAGAAAGAAAGAAAGAAAGAAAGTGTTTACATACAAAGACAGAAGAAAGAAAGAAAGAAAGAAAGAAAGTGTGGAAAATATAAGAAAAAAGGAAGGAAGAATGAAAGAATGCGGTTATGTGTGAAGAAATAAAGAAAGAAAGAAAGAAAGAAAGTGTTTACATACAAAGACAGAAGAAAGAAAGAAAGAAAGAAAGAAAGAAAGTGTGGAAAATATATGAAGAAAAAGGAAGGAAGAATGAAAGAATGCGGTGATGTGTTAAGAAATAAAGAAAGAAAGAAAGAAAGAAAGAAAGAAAGAAATGGTTACATATTAAGACAGAAGAAATAAAGAAAGAAAGAATGGAAAGATATGAAGAATAAAAGAAAGAAAAATATAGTGTGGAGATATTGAAAAAAAAGATTGGTAATATTAAGTCATAAATCTTCTGATACACTCTGGCGACACACATCTTTGGTGTGTCCTTTAAATAAGGACTAATGAATCCAGTCTTATTTCTTAAGCGTAAAGGTCGTATAAACAACAACAACAACAACAATATTAATAATAATAATAGTAGTAGTTGTAGTAATAGTAATAATAAATAAAAAAAAAAACTGTGGAGAGTAACATTTTTAGGGACAAATCCAAATTTTTCAGAGGGAATAAAAAAGTTAATCCTTATGACATTTTTAAAAATTAAAACAAAACACTCAATCCACGCTACGAAACAGAATCTAGTCATCGTGAAGAATGAAAAGAAAACCCGACGTGTGGTGACGGTTAATATTCCAGGAGAACAGAAACGAAAGATAACATTCAGAGAAAAGAACTGAGGAACATGAAGATGGCCATTTTGTCCATCATTATCGACACGCTTGGCACAGTTTCGAAGAGGCTTGAGCACCTTCTACCTTTACAGTACGCATGACCGGATCCAAGTCGTATTCTGACGTCGCTTGTTTTTTTTTTTTGTATTGTTTTTTTTTTTTTTAGCGTAATACAGCTTCTATGTATGTATTCAGCAAAACCCAAGAAAATGCTAAAAAATGTGCTTCAAACAATAAACACTACGGACAATTACATTCTCATACATTCTCATACTCTCACCAAACGAAAAAATGTGAAAATACTAGAAAAACTCATGGTTACTATCCATATATATATATATATATATATATATATATATATATATATATATATATATATATATGTGTGTGTGTGTGTGTATTGTTATGGTAATTTACACATACACGCATAGATTCTCGCAGCTATAAATAAAATTCTTGCTCGTTTGTATATGTTTTGTATTACTGCTTCTGTTAATATATTTGTTTAACTTTCTTCTATTTGTCTTTATTTCTGGCCCTAACACATACACTGAAATGCTGAAATTCGAAGATGACATGACAAACATGGTCAGAAACATAAAGTTTAAAAGACAGTTGGATAATTACCAGAAAAAATTATAAAGGACACTAAAAAGAAATAATGAACTCCAAAAAAATATTCATATTTGCTGACAAAATTAAAAACATATACACAATGGAACCTACAGCCCACAAAATGTTTATAACTAACAACATCACACAATTATATAAAAAGACAACGGTAAGGGCAAAAACCAGAAAGCCAAAGATCTAGCCGACAAACTGAAAATAGAAGAAAGGAAGAAACACATAGCGGAACAACAAGCAATCATTACAGCAAAGGACCACAAAACTAACTTCGATACAAAACCCACATTCTGCCTAATCAAAACAGGAAAAGATGCATAATTTGGTTCTACTAACCATACAGCAAAACTAACATCAGCAGGACATTCTTCAACTCAATAGAAAAGCACATCCCCTCAGCACACCACTTAGCAAACATATTAAAAAAAAAACAACGTAAAAGTCAGCTACAGTTGTACTAAAAATATAACGCAAATAATAAAAAACCACAACAAAAAGGTAACACCTTACAATAACGCAATCAAAGATTCCCAATGTAACTGCAAAAATAAAACCGCATATCCGCTGCAAGGAAACTGCAAACGAACACAGTATATAAATCCAAGGTAAATGCAAACAACACGACTATGTACTCCACCGGCGCCACAGAAGGACCATTCAAGCAAAGAAAATACAACCACGACCTCTTCTCCTCCAACAGATAATATTCCAACACTATCCACAGATATATGGCAACTAAAAGACAGAAACGTCATACCAAAAATAAGCTGGGAAATAATGAAAACCACACCTGCTTACAGCAGCATAACGAAAAGATGACTACTTTGTCTACACGAAAAATTAGCAATAGTCTTCCATACTCAACAAAAGGAATTACTGAACCTAAGATCGGAAATAATTTCAAAATGCAGACACAAAAATAAATACCTCATATCACAGTTCATACCAAACGGATAATACATAAAAAACCATCACCATGCTGAGGGAACACTTCAAGATCATTTTACAACGACTACTACTACTTTAGTTACCAATATTGTCCTCACTACCCTATGCATGTTCCGAAAAATAACTACTACTATTATTATCACTTCATATCCTGCCCCATTAGTACTGTTTTTGACCAGTGTCTTCGTTATTATTGTCATTATCTATTTATCACTACTATTATTACCATTGTCATTATTTAGTTATTACCACTTCAATTATTTTATATTTTTTATTATCCCTCCCATAAGCATCATCACTATTATCACTCTTTTATTACCACTTCCATCATTATTTATTATTTACTACTGCTATTATCTTTTATTTTTATCATTATTACCATTGTCATTATCTTTTATTATTATTACAAATGTCATTATTTAGTTATTATCACTTCAATTATTTTATATTTTTTATTATCCCTCCCATAACCATCATCACTATTATCACTCTTTTATTACCACTTCCATCATTATCATTATTTATTTATTATTTACTACTGCTGTTATCTTAACCTATCATTATTTGTTATTAGTTATTATTATCATTATGATCATAATTATTTTACGACCATTGTTATCATTATTGTATATTACTACTATTATCCCTATCATTGTAACAATATTTAACATGGCATACGGACGAAAAGGGTGAAAAAAAAAACGATTTTATTTTATTTTATTTTTTCATCAGAAAAGGGACAAATTTTCCCAGGATATTGAGAACAGGTTTACGAATTCTGTGGAAAAAGATACAAAATACGATTGTAACTGTTCGGCGAGACACAGCTGTCATTTTCAGGGGTCAGAGGTTAAAGTCGACTATTGAAAAGTGTCAATGTCTACGTACTGGGAAAATGATTAACCAAAATTTCTCTGAGAAAGAAAATTATAATTGTGAATTGCAGGAGACGTCAGGAGACTGACGTTAATATAATGGCTCCTGCCTTTTTTATTTTGATATAAATATCATCTAGTCACTTATTCGAGCGTCGTTTGTTTTATTTTCAATTTTGTGTGCGTATTCAACTCCTTGGTTTAGCTTGGTTGAGATACCCCAGTGATAATTCAGCTTGACCCCCTTTAGATCAAAAATCACAACGTTGATAAGTGAGGTCATAATTGAAGAGGTCAACTTAAAGACAAACAGCTGTGTCAAACACCACCAACGACCGACGAGTGTGGGCTGAGGGCTTGTTCTCCGATACCAGGATCGATCCTAACCAGACAGCAGGCCACTGCCCCGGCCTCGCCACATCAATATTTATTACAACTACTGTCATTATTATCATTATTCATCATTACCACTATTATATCCTCCCCCAACATCATTAGTATTGCTTTTTACCATTATCATTGTTCTCATTATTGTAATTATTATTTTATTCTTACTAGTTTCACTATCATTTTTATGTTTACTGCATCCATTACCATAATTACCATTGTCATCATTGTCACATTCTTTCGCAATTATACTTCACTTCCACTTCAAGATTAAAGCCAAATTTATTGCTCTCATAACAAAACTATTACAATCTGGAATACTTATTATTTTGTTATAGTGGAACACACTTATTCTATTGTTAATAGACTCTCCCACCTATAATAAGTAGGAGTAGTAGGAGTCGCTCAGTGAGTTGGTCAGTCAGTCGATGCCGGACGACCATTAGTCGGATACTAAAGTATCAGCGACCACAACTAGATTTTCTCTGCGTCATACCTATTATATCAAGTTCCTACGTCGAACCTATTTTAGGACCGACAGTACAAATACAAGCTTCCACTGTGAAACCACTCCACAACATATTTGCACTATTAATATAAGTGTAAAAGTCTATAATACACAAGCAATCATCATTAAATATAAAATCATCATATTCGCATACAGATCTCACTTTAAGCAATGTGATGATGTAAAGCACAGGCAGAGAAAAAAATATAAGTACAAGTATACATGCGTGTATGTGTGGGAAGAATTCTTATTTCGTCTGACAACGTAGTCGACTGACCTGAAAGATGACAAGAACACACCCCAACACCCCCCCTTGTTGAAAAAAAGAAAACT